TTTTAAAAAAACTTTGGCACCAAATTCGAAACACTCAGTAAAAAAGCTTCAGCCTTTTTGAGCTTATTACGTAGTAGTATTTGCTTAGCTATGCCTATTTTGAACTAATTTGGTGTTTCCGTCTTTCCACTCAGTACGTGAAAATATTTACAATTTATTTTTTCGAGAAAATGCTCATTCTTGGAGTACTAGTGATAAATTACTTGTGTTTGAGGTTAAGTGTCTTGTTTTCGTCTTATCAATTTAATTTGATATGAGTATAAATGAATAAATTGCCAGTTAGCATTAGCAAATTTTGTGAAACCCATCTGATGTATTGTGCTCCATTTATTTAAATTTTTAGGGTTTGATTGTAACAAAATTTATTTGGTAAATTTTTGTATGCTAACTTTTTTGTTCGCCAATTAAAAAATGTTCTCTTGCAATCCAGTTTAATTTGGCATATCATTCCTGGATTTTCGTTAATCATGTCTTATTGTTTTCTTGTTCTTTTTCTTATTTTTCGTTGTGCAGTTTGTGATTTATAGCTAACTTTTCGTAAATCCATTAATGGCTGGTTAAGTTTTTCTTCATCCTCAAAGTAAAATAGCCATCATTTTCTTAACCTTTTGCACCGAGTGACATACTATTTCCTTAAAAACACGGGAAAAGATTAGTATGCTTGTTAAATATATAACATAACAATATTGTTTATTAGCATTTAAAAACTTTATTTATATTAGTGATATAGAAAGAGAGGCTACATAGTTTATGTGTAGAATTCTATTTATTGTCCTCACAAGACAATATATATGTGCAATCACGTTACATTACCATGCTAAAAAGTCATTTATGTATTTTGTTAAATTATTGGTGTTTTTTTTAGCCCTTGTGGTTCATGTGTCAAATCAAATGTGCCTACGTGTCCCAATAAACAAGTGACAAGTACGTATGAATGGCTGGGCCCATATGGGCTGGATTGTGTTTGGTTGATGTGGGCTCTGAGTGTTGGACGAGAAGGGACAATGAGCCAAAACAAGTGGCCCATCCATGTGTTGTCAAATGTCTATCATACAATTAAACGATAATTTACTAATCTCAACTTTTATGAGCATATTGATTTTTTTTAATAATAATAATAAAGAAAAAAGATATTATGCATTAATTTTAGTTATAAGAAATTGTTTTGATTCACATAATATATGTTTTCTCAAGAAATTTTATATGAGACGGTGTTACCATTAGGCAGGTCTGCTCGTCATTCTATTTGAATAGAACGTATACATACACTTTAAAATGTCATACTTCTATTTATGTTGTTTCATAAAATACGACATTTTCTAATAAAAATATGCATATTTTATTTTAAAACAAAAAGTATGTCAATCTAACATAAGTCCAATCAATGATTTCCAATTTCACAAATTAACAATATTAATTTTTCACTCTCAAGAATTTCGATAAATCGTGAATGAAATATTGCTAACTAATTCGCCTATATAAATTGGAATATTTATAAAAGAAATAAAATTACCTTTTCCATTGTGTATATTATGTTCATGATGAATAATTTTTATAACACTTTTTAAAAAGTGTCGCAATAACTTTAGTTTTAGTTACACTTATTAGAGAAGTCATTATATTTATGTTGCAATAAGTCCTTTTTCTTGTAGTGTGATAACCTTACTTCTCGCTTTCAAATGTTGCAATATCTTTTCCAACATTTTTCAAAATTTAAAGGTAGCTTAAAGAAAATTTTTAAACAAATTAACTCCCTCAAATACTTAGGTCATGAAAACATATGTCAAAGTCCATAAATAAATAAAAACATATGTCAAAATATCTGAAAAGTTTGCGTAACTCACCAGCTATTAACGAAAAAACTAAATTTATTTGTCAGGTTACTAGGAAAATAGAAAGCATCAAAATATCACAAATTAGTCAAAGGGATTAAGTTCGAACTTTTCTCTTTGCGCCACTTGGTTTTATCTTATTCTGAAAATGGATAAATTTATAAGTCAAAAGTTATTTTTATTTAGTCCAAGCTCAAAAAATTTACCTACCGTGCACTCGAATGTTAACAAATAAATACAAGAATACAAAGGAGGATAAAAATTAAAAACGTTGGAATAAAGTTAATAAGTAAATTAATTAACACTAAAGCATTTTAATATATTAGCATACTTTTAAATTAAATTATCGTATTCTAACAACATCAAAAATACATATTTTATAGCATAAATATACATTTTTATTTAAAAATATGACAGTTAATGGATCAACCTATCTAATTATTAGACAATCTTATACAACAATTTGTGATTAAGTTCATTTTTTCTATTTGCACAACTTGCTTGTATCTTGAAAACGATAAATTTCGTAAGTCAAAATTAATTGTGTTTAGTCAAAGCTCCAAAATTTACACAGCACACACTCAAGTGTTCACAAATTAAAGAGAAAAAAAAAATTATTGAAATAAAATTAATAATTGGAGAGACGTAACAATTTAACAGTCATATTTTTCAACAGACGTGCATAATTTTAAATTAAAATATCATATTAAAAAAAATAAAATAAATAAAATTACGGTATTTTATAACATAAATAGACATTATTATTAAAAAACATGACGGGTCAATCAGGTAACGGTGAAAACACTTCATAGGCTAATTTCATACAATAATTTGAAATTAATTAATGTAAGAAAAGGAATAGTGAGTTTGACATTAGCGAAGGATATTATCTAAGGTTGTCTGGAAACATGAACAAAACAAAACCTTCCACATGAGGCCGATTCCCATTGTCCCCCGACGGCGCATCTTAGCGACCACCGCTGCTCTATTTTGTTACAAGCAGATCACATTTTTTGGCGAAATTTGTCAATTTCTTCTGTTTCAAATAAAGGAATAAAATAAGAAATATTAAAAAATATGTATATATATAAAATGTTAAAATGAGCAGTAAATTGTGAAATTTGGATCTAGGACCACTTTATCGTGGGTTCTTTTAGAATTGGTTTCTGAAAAAATATATTATAAATTCAAAAAGTTAGGTGGATTTCGATTTCTATCACATTTCGAAAAATTATTAGCAGCTCAACAAAACATTCAAATTTGTTACTACACGAAACTTTCACCTCATGTGCGGTTTGAAGATGAAAAAAATTGCCATTATTCTATCAAAACAATAACAATTCATACAAGCTAGCTAAATCTTCTAATCTGCACAAAGTAAAGGAAACAAAAAAGATTAACCCCATATTAATAGTCAATTAAAACTTTAACCAATCTCATTTGTTAATTAATAGTCAATTAATACTCACGCAACATCTACGAGCTACAGTTAGAGTTAGTTGATAGGTTTCGGTTGTCAAATTGCATTAAAAATGCTCACAATCTATCTATCCATACTCATCAACATAACAGATAATAAATAAATAAATAAATAATAATCATACACAAGTAACTCAAGTAATAATTCAATCATCACCATCATACTATGAAAACAACATTTGTTGACAAGACACCAATAACGTGGCACCACATTTTCTACGCCACGTCTTCACTATACAAAGTACAAACTCTCCTTTATTTCATTTCTTTTCATTGCCCCCACCTAAACAAAACGTACTATTACCATAACTAACTTTACAACCTAAAAAATCAATTTTTTAGTCTATTGGTTTAACTCCATAACTATTTTAGTCTCCAAATTCTAATATTTTGCTTTTTAATTTTATGATTTAATATTTTGTTACAATTTTAGTCATTTGAAAAACAAAATTGCAACAAATTCCCAAGTCCCGTAACTTAAAATTTTGTTGCAGTTTCAATCCGCAAAGGAATAAAATTGCAACAAAATATTAAATCACATGATTTGAAACCATATGACTAAAAAATTACTGTAGCGTTAAACCAACAATACTAAAAATACATATATTTTTTTCAAAATCAAAAGACCCCGAACACCGCCGTCTGCGGCCGTGCCGGAGCCGTCTTCTGCCTCCTGATCCCCGACAATCCCGGCGGCTCCACCGACCGGACGAGCGCGAAATTCATCCCCTTGAAAAACGGGTGCGTCTTCACGTCGGCCGCCCCGTGCCTCGACCCGAGCCTCCGGGCCGGGTCCTTCTCGAGCAGGCCCGCGATCAGGTCCCGCGCGGCCCGCTCCTCTCTGCTCGGAGGCCCGGGAAAACCGAGCGGGGCCCGAACGATGTTCCGCAGCGTGGTCTCGTTGGTGGGCCCCACGAACGGCGTCCGGCCGTAGATCATCTCGTAGATGAACACGCCGAAGGCCCACCAGTCGACCGAGCTGCCGTGGGGCCCGCCAGAGGCGACCTCGGGCGCCACGTACTCGTGGGTCCCGACGAACGAGCATGAGCGGGCGGAAACGGGCTCGGCCACGAACCGGAGGCCCGATACAAGGGCAGTTGTTGTCTGGACTTTACGGGAACGGAATAAACGGGCCGCCGGGAGGCAGGCAAAACGGGCCGAGGGTGGGCTCGGGGAGGAGGAGGAGGAGTCGGGGGATTCGAGGGAGGCAGTGGAGTCGGAGCAGAGGGAGAGGTCGAAATCGGTGAGCATTATGTGGCCGTCGGATCGGACGAGCACGTTTTCGGGCTTTAGGTCTCGGTAGATTATTCCTAGCATGTGGAGGTATTCTAGGGCTACAAGAACCTCAGCTGCGTAAAACCTGGAAAATTTTTTGGTTGCGATATATTAGTAAATTATTAGCCAAAAAAAGGTTGTGGTTTTCAGTTTTCTTGCTGCAATGGATTAAAGGGTTTATTTTATTTTATTCTTTTTATCCAATGGGTTGTAACAAATTTGGTATCAAATATGAGTAATTGAGAAAAAACAAGAAAGGTGATAAATTAGGGGAATTTGAAAGTTGAATTGATTTTCCGGCGAGACAAGACGACTATATATATGTTAAAAACAGGGGGAAAAACAGAGAAAAAAGGGGAGAGAAAAAAGAAGTCCCGAAGATTAAAACTTTTTTTCTTTCATTTCTGATTTTTGACGAATTTTTGTAACAAATTTTAAATAATGTCAAAACTGCACAATTGTCAAATTTTGTTTAGCAGAATTAGTATTGGAGGGAGGCCCTTTTTTAGCAGAAGCTAACGAAAGCACCATTGCAGAGGACCAGATCAAGTAAAGAAAGCTACATTTCAATGGCAGGTCCACATTCTCAGTTCAATTATCGCATCCAAAGAAATAAAAAAATTAATAAAAAAATCTAATTTACCAATTAGACAATAATTAAGCAATGAAAAGAAGAAAATGCAGGAAAAACGACACAAAAATTTAAAATAAAAAATAAACTTTAAAATTTGAATTACCTCGCTGAGCTGATGGAAAACCGTTTGTGCGGTTGCTTGTGCCTGAGAGAATGCAAATCGCCGCCGGAGCAGTACTCCATCACCACACACGAGAATTGCGACGCCTCGAACTCGGCGAAGAGCGTCGGCAAAAACGGGTGGTCCAGCCGCCGCATGACCCTCCGTTCCGCCTCCGCCCTCTCCGTCTTCTTCTTCAGGGCCAGCACGTCGTTGTCCACCACCTTCATCGCGTACAGCCGCCCGTCGTCCGCCGCTCCACGGAGGCGGCACAGGTAGACGCGGCCGATGTCGCCGCTGCCGATTTGCCGCACCAGGCTGAAGTCGCGGAACCCGCGGGCCGAGGAGTCCGATGCGCGCTGCGTCCGCAGCGCCGCCTGCTCCGGCGAACCCTCCGGAAGCTCGAACGAGAGGCGGCCGAGGCTGGCGGAGGAGTGGCTGATGGCGGCCGTCGTTGCGGTGGTGTCGCTGCTCATCGAGCTCTTGCCGGAGTACAATCCCTCTGAATCGGAGTTCCTGTGCGAATCGTCTGACATTTTCCGCCCGATTTCATGTACCGATCGGAAACGAACCTCTTAAACCACCGGATTTGGAAGATTTCGCAGCGATAAATTGATTTTGTGGCCTCAATTGAACGGAAATTGGGGATTTTTTTTTTCCAGCTGGAAGTTGGAAAAATAAGTCCTCAGAGAGTGAGATAAAGGTTGGAGCTAAGAAGTGGACACTAATAAATGGAGCTTTTTCAGAGAGTGCAGAAATGGTTGCAGTAGAGAGAGGAGCTTTGCTTGTCTTACTGTGAGCATTAATGGCGATTTAGGGTTTCCGTACAAAGAAAGAAATCAGGGACGGGTTTATGGCTACTAGCTATATAGCCAGCTTATCTGTATAAGAGCTCGGCTTACGAATATATGTGTGTGAAAGTTATTGTGTTTTGAGATTTGGTGGTTGAGAGTTAAGAGACTTGAGAGGGAGGCTTTTTATAAATATATAAAAAATAAATAATTTTTCTTTAATCATCAATTTTTCTTATATAACATATCCAACTTATAATATGTTGAATATTTGACTTGACATTCATCATGTACATATAATATAAACAAATATTTATATATACTTATATCAACTTATATCACAATTTTTATTTAAAAAAATTAACATTTATCGTTAATTAGCTCTTAATTAATTTATATTCTATCACTATTTATTTTATAATAAGAATCAATGTGAAAATTAGCATTTATAAAAACTTTACTCTGAATTTTTTTCTTTCTACCATTATTTTTCACATTTTTCACTCTAAACAATTAACATGTACCATTACTTAAATCTTAATTAATTTATATTCTATCACTATTTTATTTTTATAATAAGAATTACTGTAAAAGTGCATTTATCAAAACTTAACTATGAATTAATTTATAAAATGCTTCAAATATTTGATTTGCGATATGGATGTAAATATCTAATTTCATATTTTGAGATTTATTGTGGAAACGTAATACAAAAATTGTTATCATCCATTTCTAATGAACTTTGCATTTCTAAGAAGATTTAATGATACGTAATTATTTTCACGAAAATAGGGAACATATATTGTTCTAAAACAATGGACAATATTTTGGCTCACAATTTTAAAAATTAAAATGCACAATAAGAAGTAAAAAGGTAGGACAATATTTAGGAATATAATTTTGAGAACTAAATTTCACACAAAAGGATAAAAAATCGTTTTCTAATTTTCATTCAGAATTTTTCCTTTATCAATAACTCAGACTGTTTAAACAAAAAATGAACATTCCTCTTATAAATCAGACATCAACCTCTTTCAATATGTATAGATTGCATAATCATGGAAAAAGAAAAATTAAATTGTATTTAAAAATTATATAAAAATAAGTTATGCAATATTAGAAGTTAAATATGAGTTGGTTCACAAAATATAATAGAAATATATAAAAAAAAATATAAACTATTGAACATCTTATTATACATGATATATATTCTTAATATGTTTTTTTTAATAATTTTTTTAATTCATATATTAAATTGTTATGGTAAAATAATAATAAATATTGATATTAAATAAAGCAATAATATTGTGATTCAATAAGTTTTAAATACATTAGGATTTAAAAATATCAAAAAATCTGTAAAATATTTAAACAAATACGCACACTTTGTATTACTATGATTGGTCAATATAACTTTTATGTAAGTCAATAATTCATGTTTGGCTAGTCTGTTTGTTTGTTTGTTTGTTTTCTTTAATTTGTTTTTGCCAAAAAAATAAATACTATTAATATAATTAAAAAAAATACAATTGGTAACCAGTTGGTTACAAAGATCATCTCAACAGTCAAGTGATAAAAAGAAACGAATCATGGGAGAATCATTTTAACAAAAGAGCTTCCGTTCAATAGGATCAACCCTACAAAACACTCAAACAAGCGAGACAAAATAACTCCTTAAAGAAGACTGAATTACTCCATAAAGGAGACTTAAAACTCCACTAAGGAAGACTGAAAACCAAACAAACAACAAAATAAAAGAAAAAGAAAAATAACCTAGCTAATTAAATCCAAAAACTAAAGACTAAACTAATGTCCTCCCCTCGAGCTAGACTCACTACACCTAGAAGCGCCAACACCCCAAGACAACCAAGCGAAGAGAAAAGCCAAGACAAGAGACCCAAAATTGGGCACTCCAAACTCCACACTCCATAAGACTATGACAATGAAAATGGCTACTCAGATATGAAACCAACGAATTAGATCCACTCTTCAAACTCAACAACCAAACAACTGATGGCGACCAGACGAGAGGTCTGCCAATAGAAGAAAGAAGAGATCCAACTCTGTCGTAGTCGGACCCAAAAGGCCGATCGAGAAACACAAGCACGAAATGGACGACCCACCACTCCTCCTCACCAACGATGATCCCACATGGCATGTGCCATACACATGCTAATTTTCATTAACTACTAATTTCCATACCTATGATGCTAAATTTTGGTGCCTACCTAAGTTACATGCATTAATTAATCGTTTCTATTTTTTGTTAATTCCTTGCTTCATATAAACATAGTATATAAATATAAATATAAAATGGGTGCTTTATTTTATGTGCGTATTTTAGATTTTTAATTCTACTGTCAAATGAGACCGAAATTACAGTTTGACACGTGCACTTCTTCTGAGACCCTAGTTTCCTCAGCTCTGACGTAAGATCCAGCACGTGCGGGAGGGATCGGCACGTGTTGTAGTTTACTCACATTTGACTGGCTTCACAGACAAAATGTACAGTACGCGTGACTTGTATTTGCCATTTGGAGCCTGAAAGTAACATTTCTACTTGAAATTTCGGGAATACCCTTTGGGTGATTTTGTTGGGGGTGGTGTAGTAGTGAGTCAGACTCATGGTACCATTTTGTAATTTTGGAAAAGTAGAAAGGGACCTAAAAGTAAGGGCCATATCCTCTCAGTGCGAAAGTTGGGTCAGGGATTGCAGATGAAATAAATAATTGCATTTACGTCCTTTATGGTACTCCATTTTTTATTTTTTTGAGCTTTTTATATTTTTGCAATTTGAAATAGATACTATTTCAAACTTAATCCCCAATAGAAGTTTCTAATTGCATAAAATAGTTTCATTACCATTAACATTCTGCTTGGGACAGTGATTAGCAAATTGCTTCTTATGATGTTTAAAATTAATAGAAGGTCAATTTTCAAATGCTTTTTAAAATATATATATATATATATATATATATATATATATAGAAGATATTATAGTATGGTAGAATAATATTTGTTATATGAGTTTTGTTCTTTTAATAGAGATCTTACTTCCTACTTGAAATGGAAGAGATAAAAAGGAAATGACGTATCTTGTACAAAGTAGAAAAACAATTGTAGACAATTAATTTTTTTATTAATGAAATGGCCACAATTATCAAATTCCATGTTAATATCAATTTAATAATTTTCTGTTTTATTTGAAAAATTAATTAAATTTTAATTCCTAAATTAAATAGTTAATTAATTGATTATTTAATATATATTGTTGGTCAATTAAAAAATGTCAAATGTATATTTTGAAGGCCAATTAAAGAATGTCACATGTCATTTTCTTGGAGAGTAAAATAAATAATTATTTCTTTTAATAACTATTAAAGAGATAAATATTCATGGACTAATCAAATTGAAGTCTTCTTTTCCAAGACTACATCTCCTAATTATCTCTTTAAATAATTATTAATAAATAAATATTAAAAATTATGGACCAATCAAATTGAAGTCTTTTTTTTCCAAGACTCTCTCTCATAACACTTATAAATAGGGGCTCTCCCCAAGGTCAAAATCACAATTCATATTCACAATTCAAGTTCCAAGTTCAAGAGCTCTAGAGAATTCTCTCAAACGAGATTCAAGTGTTCTTGATGATCCAAAGACGTTCTTGAAGACTGGCGTAGAGAAGATCGAAGATTAACTTTGCGGCGAAGACCAAGAACTCGTGAGTTCTTCACATTCTTGGGAAATCACGGCATTCGATTCGAGATCAAGACCGGCGGAGATCAAACTGATGATTCATCTCTAAAAGTCTCATATCCATTTGAAGATCGTTCTTGAAAAAATTAATCAAAGGAATAATAGCGATTTAGAATCCATTATATTTCATTTGATCCGTTGAAATCTATTTGTACGAAGTTCTCGTGTTTATTAATTCAATAATACGAAATTTTGCGTTACAACAACGAAAACGAAGAAAAATAAAAGATCAATAACCTGGGTTGATTTGTGAGCGAACAAACAACAATTAGTAAGAAGTAGATATCAAAGATTTTNGATCAAGCATCGCCTATCATTCATCCGGACTTGTATTTTAATCACCACTCACTATATTTTCTGTTGGAATTTTTATTTTATTTGATAGTTTTAAAGACTTTTGATACTCATTGGATCTAGTCTTTTTGTTCGAACTCTCGATATGTTCTGTTTCTTTTACTAAAGTATTTGTCTCGTTTGACTTGTATGAAAATATTGTGCTTTATTTGATCTGGTGAATTTTTGACATGTTATCTTAGTTTACAAGTGTTTTTATCATTTATAGAATAAGTTTAATCACCCGTATTGTTAATTTCCGTTGCGTAAAAAAGCTTTATTTGCTTTTTTTTTTTTAAATGTTTCAGATGACATACAATATGCCATGATACATTTGACAACACCTGAATTCTAATTTTAAAATTCAAAACTTCGGTTGAAAAATTGGATTCTTTGGTTCCTAAAATTCTTGCATTGTCAATAACCTTATTGTATATAAACAATGCTAACAATGTAGTATATATGACTTATTGTCAATTGAAAATGTGTAATAGAGTGTATTATTGAAATGTGATAAGCTTAATAATATTCCAAATTAAAGATATCATGTCGATTTAAAGAACATGTACGTACATGCATTGGGTATCCATCACCAAAATCCAACTAAAAAAACAAATATTGGGATTGTACTTGAAAAGCCGCTTTAGTGGTCCTTAAATAATAAATACACATATTCATGCCATCTCTCTATCAAACTACTATGGAAATGGATTATTGTAATTTTGAAGTATTTATGCATGCATAAATTTTTGAGTTATTTAATTATCTCAAACAATTGTCATATCTAATTAACGCCAATGATTATGATTGATTCACCTATATATGAAAACATGCACTTTAATTATATTATTTCTTTGTGCAATTCTCTTAGTCAAATAATGATTTGTCATCCAAATTTTTGTTTGATCAATGGAAGAAAAAGCTTGCCAAATTAGGGAAAAAAAAGGTATTATGATCTAAATGATAAAAGTATTATGATTAAAATTAAAAAGTATTTTCACTGGTAGTGCAACAGAATTATTACTTTGAACAAAACTGAGTCGAATATAGTTCAAAATTTCATTTAAGATGACATTTCCATGCATCTCTTTAA